AATAAAGATAACATAATTGTCCGCGTTCTCACACTCTCTTCCCCTTAAAAAAATTTCATTCTCGAAATGTTTACCTTCAGTTGCCTCATATGACTCAGGAGCTTGTTGGTTGTCTAAGACATATACCTTTGCCGGTACTTTTGTTTGATTCCCTCTTTCATTCGCTTGTTTCGATTTGGTTCCATCCAATGGTTGAGCACTATTCTCTCGTGGCTGCTTCATCGGGCATGTACTAATTTGATGATTGCTACTCCCACAAATCAAACACTTTTGCCCATTCCTCCAGCAATCATTCTCGGTGTGATTAACTTTTCCACAGTATCCACAGGCCAAGTGAGAAGCCACTTTTTGGCCTTCTTGAGAAATTTCATCATGTCCTATCTGACTTTCTCTTGTAGATCTTTCATCTAATGTTCCTAATGTCCATGGTGGGCGAGGTAAATGGTTCACTTTTTGCACTTTGGAGGGCATTATCTTGTCTCTAGATTCCTCAGGCATGCTACTAGATGTACCTCTTTTTCGTGTTTGAAAAGGTTTTACTTGTGCTTTCACATCCTCAATTCTTTGAGCCTTCTCAAGAGTCTCCGTAAAAGTATTAACTTGAACAGCTGCTAAAGCTTCTTGGATTTCCAAATTCAAGCCTTGTATGAATCGTCTTACTCTCCTTCGCTCCGTAACTACCAATTCGGACGCAAACTTAGACAGTTTAGTAAATTTAGTTTCATATTCGGCCACACTTTGGGTTCCCTGACGCAACCCAATAAACTCATCCTCGCTCCTTTCTTAGACCAAAGGTGGGAGGTACTTCTTATTAAATTCCCTTATAAAGTTCGCCCATGTCCATGCAATCTGTTCTCTCTCCCACTTTGCCCTAATAACATTCCACCATGCTCGGGCCGGTCCTTCAAATTGAAATACAGCAAAGTTCATCTGTCTTTGCTCCGTGTAGTTCAAAACTGCGAAGATGTTAATCATTGCCTCTAACCACTGTTCAGCTACATCTGGATCAGGTACTCCAAGGAATTTAGGAGGTACGAACTTTTGAAACCGCTCCAGAGCCCTATCCTCTCCTATCTTGGGATTCTGGGTTGATTCACTAGCATCTGGCCTTGTTGATCTACCAATCGCGCTAAGATATTTGTCATTTGTTGTATCGCTGTCGCTACTTGATTTCCGACCTCAACCCTCGGTCCTCGATCTTGTTCAACTACTGTTTCTCTTTCTTCTCTCGGTTCTTGAGCTTGCCTAGCCCCACGGCCACGACTATGTCTCTCCTCCATACCCTTTTCTCTCTCTTTTTTTTCAAAAGGTGATTTAGTAGGTAACAAAGTAAATTGACTAAAACGACAAGATATAACACACCAAATTCACATAGCTACATATCAAGTTGAACGAAAACAAAATCAAGTACAGCAAATACCATACACCTAAGTATTAACATGCCATAAGCCAAATACATACGGTAGCAATACAGAGGCAAAACAAAAGAAAACACGACATGCCGTTCCACACTCGGTTAAAATATTTTCCCGTCTAATCTCCCACTTCTATTACTATCTGAACTAGACATCCGTAGATCCCTTGCACTCGCTCTGACCAAACTCTAGCCTATTCCTTGCTCTCAACTCCCGCGTACTCGGATACAAGAATCCGAGATAATTCACCACTCGAGCTGGCCAGTCCCAAGAGTAAATTATCTACCATTGAGATTCCTATCTGACGTACATAACTATTGTCCTCAAGTACCATGAGAAAGATTTAAGACCTATAACACTTTATGGTTCATAACTTATGCTCAAAAGAGCACTAAGTCCTTCATACTTATTCAAGAAATCAGGACCATAACACCACTTGGCCCAATCTCACTCCGCATAGAGACCACGCAAAATGGCTCTGATACCACCTGTGACGGCCCCACTTTCCCCTAAGGCGAACCAGAGGTTTCGGCGGTCCGCCTACCCAACTCTTGCCAGGACTCACTCACTCACATCAAATAAAATAGGGTGTAATCTCAATAATAAATGAAATAACAGTTCCCAAACTTAGAGCGTATACTTACATCCATTTCTATCTCATAATTCCAAACTTAAACATATACTTATTTACATTTCTATCTCAAAAGGAATACAAACCCAAATATACAAAGGTTCTCAAACTCAATATATCCAACCCTATCCAGGCATTAGAGCGAGTACAATTGCAAAAATTTAAAAGAACTAGAAATTTAAAAGAACTAGACTATGCTATTCTATACAAGTCTCTTCCCTTGCTCGCATCCCCTGTAAGGAAAACAAAACTAACGGAATGAGCTAAAAGCCCAACGAGGTTCCGCACACAATAATCAAAGCAATGAGACAAGGTCATTAATCAAATACTAACAAGTCGTCCAGAAAACATTTACAATATAAATCAATAATAACACATTCATCAAAAGGATACATGCTCACGTGGAGCCCTTCGTTCATTTATTCCACCAATCATTCCCTTATTCCTCCAGCATTAAAATAATTTCGTTTGTAAGTGAAAACCTCTCCATTGTTCTTGCCATTTATTCATTCATTTCATTTTCCCCCTACTGGACATTGGCCAGTCTCCACCCGACAACGTGGTAATACTCGAGTATACCAAACTTTCACCCAGGGTCACCAAATCGCCCGACCGAATCCGTTTCTGGCTCGAGTCGACCGGCAACGAAGGGCAAGGGCCCAATTCAGCCACAAGGCTTACATTCATGCACAACTAGCATATAATCAAATAATCATTGAAAACTTCACATTTATTTAGGTCGAGTGCGATAAAGTACACACTCGCCTAGCAAACTCATTTTCAGCAATCATTGAAAGCATTTAACATTTAATCAAATATCCACAACAAGTCACATAGTCAATGGAAACATAACGTACAAAGAACACTCACATATTTAAGCAAAATAACATCCAAAGTATCATTCTGGATAATACCCTCAATCACCAAGGAACCCTAATAATAACCAAGGAAAAATATTACGGTTAAATCATCCAAAGTTTAGGTGAACCAAAGAAAATCCAAATAACTACTAGTACAAAGTATAAATATGGTTTTGGAAGTGAAAATAGTACATTTAAACCAAAGGACATGAGTAAAATATTTGTAAAACTTATCTCGCTTGTAAAACTTTGAAATCTCCAAAGATCAAACTTTGAATTCACTCATGTGCAAGTAATAAAAGAATAGATGATTTTCTTGATATGGTTACCTTGAAACCTTATGAAGATATGGCAACCAAGTGCTTCCTTCTCCAAAATCTATCCATCAAAGCCCTTAATCCTCCCTAAAGGTCAACTTCTATGGAGTGACTTGCAAGATTATGGTGAAGTCTCATGATTCAAGCATGGAAAGATGGTTGAAGTTGAAGCTTATTTTCCTCTTTTTCTCTTCTCTCTTTCTCGGCTAAGAGGTAAGAACATGGGGTGGTATAGTATCCAAAAAGAAAGACAAGTTTTAAAGAAAACTTGGTCAATGGTAGCCTTGATTTTTTTTTGTTTCTTCTTCTCTCTTTCTTAGTCATAAATGTCGGCCAAGATAAGAAGGATTGTGGCTGATTTTTACACTCCATATGGCCGGCCAAAACTAGAGAAAAATGGAGGAAGTTTGGTCAAATTTGGCTAATTAGAAGGTAAGATGGTCTTGAGTCAAAGTCCACCCTCCAATGGTGTCATGACACTTAGCTTCTAGAGTTTACTCTAATTGTCTTTGTTTTCCAACACTAATCCACCTATCTAATCCCTAATTATCCCTTAACACCTTATACCATAACAACCTTGTATACAAGCTTCAACTAATCGCCAAAATTTTACCGCACTAACCGTATTAGCGGGTCCCACGTCCAATATACATTACTACTGTCACATAAACGAACTTATACTTCAAAAATAATTTTAAAACTATACTTATAAAAATCTCTAAAAAATTAATAGAATAAAGTAAAGTATAGAAAAGGCATGCGAAGTAATAAAATAAAGATAACATAATTGTCCGGGTTCTCACAGAAGGGAAAATGAAGGAATTTTTGGTTAAATTGGAAAGATAAAGAGTAAAGAAAGTCTTGGTAAAAAAGGCCTAGATCGTTGACACTTGGTGGCGTATGGTTTCATGCTCATCTCTTTGTGTCTCTTGTATCTCTACTAGCCAATCTATCTTATATTTGTCTAATTCACTCTTAGCACTTCTAGTCACATAATCCCTCTTATATCGTTCCCGTTCTTGTTTAGTGCACACATCTCTAGTCAGTCACACTAGTGCCATGTATTATGAAAATTAACATGCACCAAATTAAACATGCACCAAGTTAAATAATACAATAGGTGGAAAATTGTGATTCAACTATTAAAACAATCAAAAATTTTGGACAAGTAAGTGAAAATAAAAGAAAATATGTAAATAACTGTCGGATCACCAAAAAAATCGCAAACAACTAATAGTTAGCAAAGATAAATAAAACCATTTATCTTGGTCAAAGCTTGTTTGAAAAGTTGACAAATGGCAAAATCTCAAGTGACATATCTATTTCATCAAAATATCTTTCTTTCCATAAATATCCCGTGTCACAAAACTACAAGCAATCAATTGAAAGAAGTAATATGGTACAACAATTGGTTATCATTCAATCTATACAAGCAAGTAAGCCAAAATGAAAAATATGAAAAGTTCAGGCCCTCACAAATATTAAATGAAGGTAAAAACAAAGTTGAGTTGCCTCCTGAGAAGCACTAAGTTTAACATCTTCAGTTAGAAAGGGTCACATATGGTTATGGAAGATGAAAAAGTTCAGATAATTTAATAGCTTCCTAAGCGTGTCTCTGCAATTCTACATAATCTTTCACATCTACATTGCACTTTCAGACTGTCAAAGAAGAATTTGCGCAATGATGTTGTTAGGGCATGCATCCTACATTCTGCTCTAAGACATATTTTTCGCCATGCTATAATATAGGAACAAGCCTCCTCATATGAAGGATACTTTAAGGTTCAAAAATATTAAATTCTTGCTTTTCCTTTCCAACCCTTAAAGTCAATTTCCCTTCTAGTAAGTCTATATTAGGCCTTCCCATAGCTAAAAATGCTCTACCAAGGATAATTGGTATTGCAATATCTTGCTCCATGTCAAGGACAAGAAAATCGGTAAGAAAATAAAATTTATTGACTTTAACTAATTGATCTTCTACAATACCAATGGGATAACACACTGAACGATCAACTAGTTGTAAAACTACTTGAGTAGGTCCGACATTGGCAAACTTTAATTTCTTGAAAAATGATAAAGGCATCAAATTCACACTGGATCCAAGGTCACATAGGCATTTATCAATAAAAATATTTTCAAATTGACAAGACACAATAAAACTCCTTGGATCTTCCATCTTGATAGGAAGACAATTTTGAAGCACCACACTACACTTCTCAGTATGTGACACCATTGCAAAGTCTTCCAATTTCTTCTTGCTAGACACTGTGCCCTTCAAGAAATTTGCATAAGTAGGTATATTAGCAAGAACTTCAGAAAAAGAAATATTCACTTGAAGTTTCTTGAGTATCTCCACAAACTTTTGATATTGCTCATCAGTTGCCTTTTTCTTAAGCCTTTGAGGAAATTGGATGGGTGGCATATAAGCTTTCACTTCAAGCACCTTCATATATTGATTATCTTCATTTTGAGTTTTTCCACTTGAACCATTCTCCATATCTCCGGTTCTGTCACTTTCAATAGCAATTCTGTTCGTATCTTGCTTTCACTTGGTGTAGTCTCGAGTTTAATGAGAGGATCATCTAATACTTTACCCAAACGAAGAGTTATAGCCATAGTAGTTTGTTTTCAGTTCACCTCAGTGTTGCTGGGCAATTTTCAGGGTATTTTTTTAGTTACCGCCTTTGCCAATTGACCAACATTGCCTCTCAAGATTTTGAATGGAGGCTTGTTGAGATTGAGCAAGTTTGTCAAATTTGTCTATCCTTTGGTCCACCTTTCGCATGTACTGTAGCATTATTTCTTCAAGGTTGGGCTTTTTCACTTTTAACGTAATGAACCGAGCTGAAAATTCTGAATATGCATCTTTTCGGAATATCACAAACAAGTGATTTTTGGGGAACCTTTCGAAGACAAAGAAGCTCTACTTTTGTCATACAATCATAAAGAAGAATACAAAAATCTATAATGTTTTTAGGAATATATTTTGTATTCAACCTCTTACGTACAAAAAATTTTAGTGCTTTTAAGCTTCATAAACCAACTAGTTATAAACCACAAGAACGATAGCCTAGATTTGGTTTTTGACCACAAAGATTAAATTCATTTATAATTGGATGGTCACATTTCATAAACATCTATACTTAGTTGTGCAATTCAAAATTTTTTTGGGTCTAAAGTTTTATGGAGTGTCCAATAGTACTTTTTGGAAACCGTACTAACGAATGTTAATTCACCGTTGGAAAGAGATATTGGCCCTTAAAAATAATTTTAGGAGTTTAAATTACTGAATGACGTGGTAAGAGTTTATTGGATTATAATTATTAATTAGTATGGTATCCAAAAGGAATAATAGAAATTTTCAAGTTTTAGTCTATAAAGGACATGTTTGCAAACTTTCGACATTTAAATGGAGAAAAATATAAGGATAAATTACACTTTAGTCCCCTAAGCTTTAGTATATTTTTTTTTGCACAATTCTCTTATCATTTTAGAAGGTATACATAACTCTCCCTCTAGCTTCCAATTTTAGCTAACTCTTGACATTTTAGTTGACTCTATTACAGTGGACAAATTTTCCTTATTTTGACACTTTACTATAAAGTACGTGCAATTATGTATAGTTCTTGAAATCAAGTATGTAGAAATGAGTTAAACCATAAGACCTAAACTGTAATTCACCTACGTCTTCTAAAACTTAGGGCGGTGGCACCCACCCTTTTCCCAATTGCTCAGTCTATGCATTGCACAACTTACAAAAAATACACTATTATTCTCAAAAATTGACTCACTTTTTGGGAATTCAATTTTTTTTTCAAAAGAGCACGTGATCATCATATCTGAATGGGTGTTTTCAGGATTCAAATTTAAATTCTATGAGTGCATTGGTACGTAGACAATGTTACTTTTACAAATCAAAAAATGGGAAAGCTAATAAAAATTTGTGTTGACTTTCATAAATCACTCTTATTTTTGGATATTTAAAAATAAAAAACATCACATTAATAATGGGACCAAGAAAGAACTTTTCTTTTCTGACAAAGTACTACTTGATTTTGTCAAAATGGCATGTGGCTCTACGCATTTTAATTGAATACTTAAAATAAAAGAACTCAAAAGTTTGTGACAAAAACATACTTAACACTTCAGGAATTTCAACTGTTGGTCGCTATTAATTATTACTTAACGTTTGACGGGCGCGGGGTATATATATATATATATTAATTAGATCATCCACAGTCAAGTTTTACATTTATAAAATTCTAAATACCCTACACGTGATTTTTCGCAAGTATACGAGTCGTTTATTAAGTATAGGGGTATTAGGTATCGATCTTACAGGGAAGATTGTCAATTATTAGTGATTTTCAAACTCCTTTATTTTCTAAACTATCACCAATGCAAGAAATTAACTCTACACTATAAAAATAATAAAAATGACAATAGAAAACTCTTAGAGGTATGGAATCCTTACTGCTCTTGCAAATAAAATTACCGGTTAATTAAATATTATTATCATGGTTAGTTACGGCGTAATTTTTTCATACATGTGAAACCTACTCTCATAGTGAATCAACTATACTCGTAGCTCAATCATGTCTACTCTCGTGGTTATGAAATCAACTATAAATTCATTTCTTCTATGAAATTACATTAAACAAGTCATTAAAATCACAAAGGTACTTCTCTACTCTCGTGAGTGAACTCCCTAGATTTATCACTTTTTTGAACTAGTGCTAAATTCTAATTCTCATTACAAACTGAACACCTTAAAATTATCACAACTAATGGTCGGTTAATCATGATTAAATAAATAAAAGTGATAAATAACTTATTCAAAATAATATTATTAATTAATCAAGTAAATATCACTAACAAGATATAGAAAATTCATCCATAACTCTAGGCATAAACTTTAGCAAAATATGAAAATAAACACAAAACTTGTATTATCACGAAATCAAATACAAGAGAGAAAGTAATAAAAAAGATATCACTCTTGTCACATGAGATAAACCTCTCCATCTTTTCTCCTCAAATTTTTATCCAAATCTAACTATAAATACAAGAAGGAAAAACTACACTAACTATACTATATTACTCTAACTTATGAACTAAGGAAATTCTAGTGAAGAATAGATTTTTAGTGAGTTTCTCTAGCCTTCCAAAGTTGTTAAAATGCGCTCCAAAGACTGCTATTTATAGAGAATTCAAGAGTCAAATGAGTTGTTTCTAGTTGTTATTTTTGCCTCTTGAAACTCCCAAAGATTATTTCTCTAAGTCTCCATACTCTTTTTGGTCAGATATAGTTGAAATTACTTGCTGAAATTGAGCAAAAAAAATTATGTGAATGCAAAACAAGTTGCACAGTAAGTTGTAGTTGAAAATGATGAATACATGACCTTAGGTCGCTTATTATACCCCACGTTTTGCCTTTTACAAGTTTGCTCATTCTGGTCAGATTTCATCCTTACTTTTTTTTTTATCCAAATTCAACTGATATTTCATGATGATAGAGGCTGAACTAACTCTTGTGCAGAACATGAAAGTGGCAACCCATTGGGTTAACTTTCCAATGCATCAAGAATCATCCAATTTGGAGTTCCGTGTACCAAGAAATGACCAAAAAACCCTCAACTGGTCAATCTCCTATTTCAACTTTCGACAAAGAAAATGTACTTAGGTATTTCGATATTTTAGCAATGAAAATGACCAAACTAGACTTTGAAATCTTCATAACAACTAATTACCTCAATCTGATGCTTGTAGTTCAAGATATTGTCGAAACACTACAAGGTGTCAAAACTGTCTAACTTGCATTTCATTCTTTGAATATTTTGCACTTTATGTCTTCTTTAAATCACTTCAATTCATCAATAATCATCCCAATATCTCTCAATTCACTCCATTTGATGATTGAATCATTAAACCCACAAAAATAAGAAGTTTTTACCATTAAAATCTATAGAAATGTAATTTTTGACGCTTTGAACCACATAGTGCATATTTTCACTAGAATTTTAGTTAATTAGTTATAAAACTAAATAAAGCACACCAAAACTAACTAATAAAATACATTAAAAACAAACAAAATATGCAATTATCAATATTTAAAAAATAATTTGTTTTAATTATATTAACTAACACTTCTTAATCTATATGAAAATAATTATGTTATTACATTTGAAGTGGAAAAGACGATATCATATGTTTGTGTATTTGTGTGTGTATACGTGAATTTTGACCGTGTGTGAGTGAACGAATAAGTAATGAAAGAAGTGAAGAATCTGTGAAAGAGGAAGCAAAAGTGACGGCTGATAAACAAAAAAGGAATTAAGTATTACTTATGTAATTTGCTTTTGAAGCCCTAACAGTTTTTGATATTTTATCTGATCCTCTAGTTTTAAGAAACTATAAATCTTCCCGTAAACATTTTTCAAATATATTTACAGTCTCATGTTAGGATCAAAGACAACCTAAGATGGGGGTAAATTAGGTTATTTAAAAACTAAACAAGTTATGAGACACTTTTTTGTTTAATATAAAATTTACCCTCTTTTCTAGGTGACCACTCAATGAAACCATTTGTAAGAGAGCAAGATTGCTTGAGAATAGAAGAGATAAGCAATTAAGGTTCACAAGATAGTAAATAATAAGGAAGGAATGGCAAATCAATTTAACTTTCAAGCTCCTCTTGAACTTGAATATCACTTTATAGAACAAGTTTCTTTAAGTTGATGAAATACAATCAATCTTTGTGTACAAAAGAGGAATCACTTCCTTCTTGCTCCAAGCTACTGTGAGAACCCTGAAAATAGACATATAAATATCAGTGCATATTTTATTTTAATTCCTTAATAAATTTTAGCACGAAGTCCAATTGTGTTTTTAAATAAGTATGTAGAATTAAACGTTATGTGCAAAATAAAAGAATTGTGCTAAACTACTAAACTTCTTGGTTTTGTTACATTAACTTATATTTCGATGGTAAATTATTTCATTGATTTAACCATTAATTTCTTTGAATTCTAGTATTATAACTACTTGCTTTGAAATAAAAGTGTAAAGATAATTTTTATGTACTAACTAATATAATTGTGCCAAATATTAAATTATTCGGTTTTGTTACACTAAATTAATATTTCTCGAGTCAGAGTAATTTTATTGCTTAAAAACAAACTCTTTGAATTCCGATAGCTAATTTAATCGTTAATAATGTTAAGAGTTAATAGGAACCTTAGTATTAAGTTGCATTTGATAATTTTAGACAAAACCATTACAAGTACACTTAGTATACTTAGGACGTTAAAATCTCGATAATCAAATCTTTGCGAGATTAGTATATTATTAAGTATTCAAATTACATTTGGAATAAATTTTGGAATTAGATTAAGTTAGAAATAGGGACTTAAGTGGATATTAGGAGTGGATATTAGGAGAGCAAGTGAAAAGATCAAAATTACCCTCACAACCTCACGAAATAACCATGCAACCACC